CTCCCACTCTCTCCCCATAGCCCTGATCAACCCCACTCCCCCCACTCTCTCCCCATAGCCCTGATCAACCCCACTCTCCCACTCTCTCCCCATAGCCCTGATCAACCCCACTCCCCCGCTCTCTCCCCATAGCCCTGATCAACCCCACTCCCCCGCTCTCTCCCCATAGCCCTGATCAACCCTACTCCCCCGTTCTCCCCCCATTGCCCTGATCAACCCCACTCCCCCGCTCTCCCCCATAGCCCTGATGAACCCCACTCCCCGCTCTCTCCCCATAGCCTGATCAACCCCACTCCCCCGCTCTCCCCCATAGCCCTGATGAACCCCACTCCCCGCCCCCATAGCCCTGTAAACTTGTCCTAGCCAAATAATTATGCACTTCTCTCTTAAAAGTTGTTATAGAATGATTCCCACCGGCCTTTCAGGCAATGCATTCCAGATCCCAACAACTCGCTGTGTGAAAAAAAAATTCTCCTGACATCCCCAACCCACCCACCCGCCAGTGCTAATAGTTCCTCTAGTTCACCCTATCGAATCCTCCCATAACTTTGAAAACTTCTATTGTCTCCTCTTAACCTTCTCTGCTCCAGGGAGAATAATCTTCGCTTCTCTACCTCTCCTGATAACTGAAGTCCCTCATTCCTGGTACCATTCTGGTCAATCTCCTCTGCGCCCTCTCCAATGCCTTGACATCCTTCCTAAAGTGTGGGGCCCAGAACTGAGCACAGTCTCTAACTGAGGACTAACCAGTGTTATACAAAGAATATGAAGAAGGAAATGTGTTTCAAACTATCAAACTGATGGCCACATTGCACCACTTTCCCATTTGTTTGTTAATTTTATGACATCGTCAGTCGGATTAGAAATATAAATAAATTTATTCCAGCATTTTATAAGATTATCAGGCAAGGGAGAGTTGGCCATTACTTTTTGATATGAACTATTTTGCTGCTGTGCCGGTGACTGCATGGAGGGCATATGTAAATATCCAACACATAATCCCTTGGGAGAACATAAATATTTTTGCTGGAGGAGCAGAGCAATCAGCGGTAAATTTTCCCGTTACACGTTTACAATGGGAGTTGTCATTGCAATTGTCAGCGCTCAGCACTCAGCACCCATAAAATGCACAGTCAAATCACTTTACAGTTCACTTTATATCCTGTGAAGAGCTTTGAGACGTCTCGAAGACGTGATAAGGCGCTAACATCAAATATTATTATTATATAGAAAACAGAAGCAGACAACTCTCAATTTTATTCACTAAAGTCAATTCACTTTACTGTATATTCTATAATCCAAGGAGAATAATCTTCGCTTCTCTCGCCCCTCCTGATAACAGGTCCCTCATTCCTGGTACCATTCTGGTCAATCTCCTTTGCACCTTCTCCAATGCCTTGACATCCTTCCTAGAGTGTGGGGCCCAGAACTGAGCACAGTCTCTAACTGAGGACAAACCAGTGTTTTATAACTTATAGGATGACTTATAGGGATCTTTTAACTTAGAGTTTAATTACTGTAACAAAAATATAAAAGTGTTGAATGAACACTTTCCTTTCCTTTCCACCCATTCTCTTTTCGAACCCCTTCAGTCAGGTTTCCGTGCTGCCCATAGCACAGAAACTGCCCTGGTCAAGGTCACCAATGATATCCTGACCATCTGTGACCAGGGCTCCCTCTGCCTCCTCGTCCTCCTCGACCTATCGGCAGCATTCGATACGGTCGACCACACTATCCTACTCCACCGCTTGTCCTCCCACCTCAACCTTCAAGGCACTGTCCTTGAGTGGTTTAGGTCGTACCTTTCTCACCGTCTTCACTTTGTCTCGACGAATGGCTTCTCCTCCACCCCCCGTACTGTCTCATGTGGTGTCCCTCAGGGCTCTGTCCTCGGTCCCCTCCTCTTCACCCTCTATATGCTCCCCCTGTGGTGACATCATCCGCAGACATGGAGTTAACTTCCACATGTATGCGGATGACACCCAACTCTACCTTTCCTCCTCTACTCTCAACTCCACGACCACCGATGTCCTGACAGCTGCCTGTCCGACATCGAGTCCTGGACGAGAGACAACTTTCTTCAGCTCAACGTGCGAAAAACCGAGGCCCTCCTGATTGGCTCACGTCAGCGCCTCCGCACCTCAGGCGCTGACACCATCAGCATCCAAGGCTGCACTCTCCACCTCTCAAAGCCAGTCAGGAACCTCGGCGTTTTGTTCGACCCTGAGCTGTCCTTTCTCCCTCACATCCGCACCACAACTGGCACCGCCTTCCATCACCTCCGGAACATCGCCAGACTACGGCACTACCTCACCCCTCACGCTGCTGAAACCCTGGTTCACGCCTTTGTCACCTCAAGGCTGGACTATGGGAACTCTCTCCTCGCCGGCCTTCCCGCCACCTCCCTCCACAAGCTGCAGGTCATTCAGAACTCTGCAGCTCGTGTACTGTCCCGCACCAGGCTTCGCGACCACATCACTCCCACCCTCGCCCTCGCTCGCCTCCACTGGCTCCCCATCCCCCAGAGGATTGATTTCAAGATCCTCATCCTCACCTACAAGGCCATTCACGGCCTCACTCCCTCCTACCTCTCCGACCTACTATCCCCCTACCTACCTGCCCGTACCCTCCGTTCCTCCGGCTCCGGTCTGCTCCACGTCCCCCGCCCCAACCGCCCTACCATCGGTGGTCGGGCCTTCAGCCTCTCAGCCCTGAGGCTCTGGAACTCCATCCCCCAGTGCCTTCGCCGCTTCCTCCCTCTCCTCCTTCAAGGCCAGTCTCAAAACCTTTCTCTTTGACCTTCAGCCTTCAGCTCCGCTCTCGACTCTCTTCCCCCTCCTCGATCCCTCCCTTCCCTCCCCTCACCCTGACCATTTCCCCCCAATGCTCGAGTCATGACCCAACTGTGCAGCACCTTGGGACGTCCTCCTGACGTGAAAGGCGCTTTATAAATGGAATCTTGTTGTTGTTGTTGTTGTTAGTTACCATAGACCTCATCTCTAATAACCTCAATTCACTCAAAACTCTCTTTCAATCAAATGTGAGGATTAAATCATATGTATTGGTAGAGCAGATAAGGAGAAATTATTTCCACTGATTAGTGAGTCAGTAACATGAGGGCAACAATTTGGTAGAGTTGTTGGCGAAGGAAAATGGGAGATTAGTAGGATTTTGTGTTACATAGAGAGTTGTTACAATGTGGAATATTATTATAATATTATTAATAATAATAATAATTCTTCCATTTGATACAGCGCCTTATCACACCTTTGAGACATCTCAAAGCACTTCACAGGACACACTGTCAAATGAATTGACTGTATATTTTGCGGGTGAAACCCGGCAGCCAATTGCGCACAGCAGCGTCCCCACAAACAGCCGTGGAGTGAGCGACCACAATTTTTTTTAAGGGATTATTAGTCCCGGAAAAGTGATCCGTCAATCAACTAACAACCGGGTTCCTTACTGACTGCTGGTAAACAGGCGTATGTGTGTGTGTATGGGGTGGGGGGGCAGTAAGGAAACTTGCCCAACGTTTTGCCCTGACCTGACCCGCCCGGGAATCGAACTCGGGTCCTCTCGCTCGCGAGGCGAGGGCTCGAACCCCTGAGCTCCAGGACTCCGCATTACGTAATAATCTTTACATTGGGTTTAGAGACTTTCCAAACAGCAGAACCTCTCAAAACGCTTCAAAATGGCTGGATATATGAGTGATTTAAATGACACTTGGAGAGAATCAGTTCAGATAATAGATATAAATTGTAGTGCACCCATGTGTGTACTAACTACAGAGAAGCACATCGATGAAATCAAACGCCCAAAATAATAATGCAGTAAACTAAAACAACAGGAAATGAAATCTATTAAAACTGAAATTAATGGCGTAAGATTGTATTAAAATAATAAATGGAGCAGATTACGGTAATAGAGTCAATTATGATAAAAAATCATAATAGCAGCAATACAAATTGGAAAATAACTATCCTGAACTGAAATTAAAATGAATTCAACCAAAATGGAATGAAAATGGGTTTAAATAAATTGATAAATTCATTAATACACTGTAAGCGAATGAACCAAAGCCAGAAATATTTTCATGTGAAACAAATCAGAACAGACACAAAAAGGAAAAGCAGAATGTGACAAATTTGATTCATTCATTTAAAAAAGACATGAATAAACAGCTCAATGAAATGATCGGAGTGAGATCAAATTGGAAGTGAATATTCAGGGAAAATTATAATGATGCTTAAATAAACTTGTTTCTTCTTATCATCTACATTTATTTTATCATCTCCTCCCCCACTTCCCCGATCACTGGGACACGGATTGTTTTAAGTGCGAGGCCGGCTAATTTGCAGCCAGATTTATGTCAAAGCTACTGGGAACTATACTCCAGAATCATGGCTGACTTCTGCAGACTGTTTGCTAAACTTTCGCTGCTGAGCGGGTGATGAGATCTGATAGATAGAAGATGAAGCAGATTTTAGGGTTTAATGCTTCTCACCCCACGTTTATAGGGCTTTGGTGTCTGACAGGTCTCTGTACTGAGATGCCCATTGAACATGGGTTGAAGCCCTCGCCTCGCAAGCGAGAGGTCCTGGGTTCGATTCCCGGGCAGGAAGCATTGGGAAAGTTTCCTTACTCCACACACACACACACACCAGCAGTCATTATGAACCCGGTCGTTAGTCGATTGGGGGATCACTTTTCCGGGAGTAATAGTCCCTTCAAAAAAAAACATAATGATAATTTGGTCACTCAACCCACGGCTGTTTGTGGGGGGACACTGCTCTGCGCAATTGGCTGCCGCGTTTCGCCCACAAAATACACAGTCACTCCACTTTACAGTGTATCCTGTGAAGCGCTTTGAGACGTCTCGAAGATGTGATAAGGGGCTGTATCAAATGCCAGGATTATTATTATTATAACTTGGCAACTTCAGACACGGAGGCAAAAAAAGAGCATAGCATTTTAATTCAGCTTTTTCACCGGTTTACCTCGAAGTGCCTCAGGGTCTAGCGTCTGGCCCAGTTGCTCCAACAGATCTGCTCTGGCTGCGTTCTTCTTGTGTTTCTTTCCATCGTAGTGTTGCTGAGCCATCATGGGGTTATTAAACCAGGCGTTACACAACTGGCAATACCGGTCCGAATCCCTCCTTTGTCTCGACGGGTTTGTTAGCGGAGTAAGGCTGGAGGAAATCTGCTTTGGCGAGGCACTGTCTCCTGTGACAGGAGGAAAGGAAATAACAAGACACAAAGAGATTACATTTCAAAATATTATTCTGGCCGGCATCAAACGTGAAATGCCCTTGAAACACACAGTGAAATATTTTTTCCCAATCCACCATCATAATAATAACCTTCGCGTTCGATACAGCGCTTTATTCACCTCTTCGGTACGTCTCAAAGCGCTTCAGAGAATTTACTGTAAAGTGTGGTGACTGTGTATTTTGTGGGCAAAACGCAGCAGCCAATTGCGTACGGCAGCGTCCCCACAAACAGCCGGGGGTTGAGTGACCACATTATTATTTTTGGGGGAGCGATTAATATCCACGGAAAAGCGATCTGCCAATCGACGAACAATTGGCTTCCTACTTACTGATGGTAAACGGAGGCGTGTGTGAGGACTAAGGAAACTTGGCTAAGGTTTTGTCTGGCCTGGAATTGAACCTGGTTCCTCTCCCTTGCAAAGTGAGTGCTCTAACCACTAAGCTACAGGTCTCCGCAATGTTAATTTCCATACGCTCCCAATTCTTCGACTGTTCCAGGTCCTCACTGATAATGCACCTGAATATGTGAACTGACATGATATGTAGCTTGGGAAGGTTAAATCGCTAGAAAAAATTGCACAAACTCTTGTACGCTGTTAAGATTATTCTACTTAACACCTCAGCAATGCTGTTAAACTATGTGCATTTAAAGGAGTGTTAAACAGTTAGACTTGCTCTGCAGTGTGTTTTCAGTCAATTCACTTTACAGAGATAAAAATAATCCTCGCATTTGATGTTAGCGCCTTATCACGTCTTCGAGGCGTCTCAAAGCTCTTCACAGGATGTAAAGTGAACTGTAAAGTGATTTGACTGTGCATTTTATGGGTGGAACATGGAGCTAATATCGCACTGTGGTGTCCCACAAGCAGTCGTGGATTGAGTTAGCAAATTATTATTTATTTTTAATTATTTTTTTGAAGGGATCATTACCCAAAGTGATCAGCCGATCGACTAACAACCGGTTTTGCTAAATTCCAGTGCACAGTGACAGAGGGCTCCAACACACACTGAGTGCTGACAATTGCAATGACAACTCCCATTGTAAACGTGTAACGGGAAAATTTACCGCCGATTGCTCTGCTCCTCCAGCAAAAATATTTATGTTCTCCCAAGGGATTATGTGTTGGATATTTACATATGCCCTCCATGCAGTCACCGGCACAGCAGCAAAATAGTTCATATCAAAACGTAATGGCCAACTCTCCCTTGCCTGATAATCTTATAAAATGCTGGAATAAATTTATTTCTATTTCTAATCCGACCGACGATGTCATAAAATTAACAAACAAATGGGAAAGTGGTGCAATGTGGCCATCAGTTTGATAGTTTGAAACACATTTCTTTCTTCATATTCTTTGTATAACACTGGTTAGGCCTCAGTTAGAGACTGTGCTCAGTTCTGGGCTCCACACTTTAGGAAGGATGTCAAGGCATTGGAGAGGGCGCAAAGGAGATTGACCAGAATGGTACCAGGACTGAGGGACTTCAGTTATCAGGAGAGGTGAGAGAAGCAAAGATTATTCTCCCTGGAGCAGAGAAGAGGAGACTCAATAGAAGTTTTCAAAGTTATGACGGTCAACAAGGAGGAACTATTCCCACTGGCGGTGGGTCGGTAACCCGAGGGCACCGATTTATAATAGTTGTTAAAAGAATCAGAGGGGAGGGGAGGAGAAATGTTCTCACACAGCGAGTTGTTGGGATCTGGAATGCATTGCCTGAAAGGCCGGTGGGAACCGATTCCATAACAATTTTTAAGAGAGTAGATAATTATTTGGTGAGGATAAGTTTGCAGAGCTATGGGGAGAGAGCGGGGGAGTGGGGTTGATCAGGGCTATGGGGAGAGAGCGGGGGAGTGGGGTTGATCAGGGCTATGGGGAGAGAGCGGGGGAGTGGGGTTGATCAGGGCTATGGGGAGAGAGCGGGGGAGTGGGGTTGATCAGGGCTATGGGGAGAGAGCGGGGGACTGGGGTTGATCAGAGCTGTGGAGAGAGAGGGGGGAATGGGGTTGACCAGGGCTATGGGGAGAGATGGGGGAGTGGGGTTGATCAGGGCTATGGGGAGAGAGCGGGGGGAGTGGGGTTGATCAGGGCTATGGGGAGAGAGCGGGGGAGTGGGGTTGAATTGGAAGCTCTTTTCAAAGAGCCGTCACAGATACGATGGGCCGAATGGCCTCCTTCTGTGCTGTGTAATTCTATGAACGAGGTGATGAGAAGCCGTATCCAATGTAAGGATTATAATATCTGGGTTTGGGGGCGGAATTTTTTTTTACAATTTGCAATTCACGAGATTGCAATGCGTCAAACCAGAGTGGGTCCGGATAACACCGTCGTGAGTTATGAATCAAACTAAAGTACAATTGTTTGTGGACGTCATCGGAATCCGGATATCTTGTCACAGCCAATAACTCAATTAGTGTTTTTTTTCACAGGACGTCATTGGTTTCATACTGAATCCATTTTTTTTCGCTGGAAAGTCTTGAGTTCGGTGTTTTCAACCAATAACAACAATGATAAAATAATGTCCCTGGGTTTAGCAGGAGAGGCCAGGAATCTGCTGCAATAGTAATAATAATAATAATAATAATAATAATAATCATAATAAATTAGCACCTTGGCCATGATGTGCTATTAAAGGAGACTGATCGATACAGAAGAACAGTATTTGAAGGGCCAAACCCTTTATTTGACCTCTTGCTGCTCAGCGTTGGGTAATAATAATAATAATAATAATTCCTTGCATTTGATACAGCGCCTTATCACGTCTTCGAGACATCTCAAAGCGACGGATACGCAGGATACACCGTCAAGCGAATTGACTGTATCTAGCGAGCGGCAAGAGAAATATTGTCAAGGCTCCCAATGTTTTACTGTGGTTGGATGGCATCAATGCGCTGAAAGGAATACACAGTTAAGTTTGGAATGATATGGACTATCTTCACTCATTTTTTTTAAAAGTTCAGTCTTTTTTTATGGTTCATGAACTGTGTTCCTCCATAGAATTAATTTAGAAGGCTTTCAAACACTGCAAAGTGGAGTCCTGTAGCTCAGTGGTTAGAGCACTCGCTTTGCAAGCGAGAGACCTGAGTTCAATTCCAGGCAGAGGGTGAAACCTCGGGCAAGTTTCCTTACTCCACACAGAGCCTAATAATAATCCCTCCAAAACCAAAAACAATAATAAATTGGTCATTTTCAACCCACGACTGTTTGTGGGACATTGCTGTGCGCAATTGGCTGCCGCATTCGCCCACAAATATACAGTCAATTCACTTTACAGTGTGTTCTGTGAAGCGCTTTGGGACGTCCTCCCGACGTGAAGAGCGCTATATCAAATGCAAGGATTATTATTATTATTATTATTGGGATTATTCAAATCAATGGGTGTGAATTTATTGTCACTTTTACTTGACATGGAGCCTGGCGTGATTGGGAGTCTATAATTAACCCACAGGTTAATTGCACATATATTTATAGCAATGTTTATTGAGCTGAAATCAATTTTGCACAAGATTGAGCTGAGGAATAAGCTTGACATGGAAACACATCCACCACGAGTTCTTCTTACTTTAGTGTTTAAATCTTTAATACTAGAGAACGTGAAATAATAATGATAATCCCGGGGTTTGACACAGCGCCTCGTCACGCCTTCGAGACATCTCAAAGCGCTTCACAGGATACACTGTCAAGTGTGGTGACTGTATATTTTGCGGGCAAAACGCGGCAGCCAATTGCGCACAGCAGCGTCCCCCGCAAACAGCCGTGGGTTGAGTGACCAATTTATTATTATTATTTTGAAGGATTATTATCCCCGAAAAAGCGATGCGCCAATTGACTAGCAACCGAGTTCCTACTGACTGCCGGTAACCAGAGGTGTATGTGTGTGTGTGTGTGGGGAGTAAGGAACTTGCCCAACGTTTCGCCCTGAGCTGACCCGCCCGGGAATCGAACCCGGGTCCTCTCGCTTGCGAGGGGAGGGCTCTAACCCCTGAGTTACAGGGAACTCCACGAAGGATAGAATGAAACACCCACCTGTTCCCAAAGGAGGCTGCTCTCCCAGTAATAGTTTCAGCCTCTTGGCATGGATCTTCCCTTGGTAATGTGACTGTGCTACCACCGGAGATGTGAATGACATGTTACAGAGAGTGCAGCATTTGTTCTTGTCCACATCTCCATCTTCACTGCCCTGCACAAAGGAGAGGAAAAATATAGTCAATTTTAGGGCATTTTGTTAATCTTTTGTCAAAACAAATCCTGTAATTTCCGTACAGTTCGGTACCGTTACGGAGGGAGATTCTACACAATCTGTGAGCTTTAAACCTGGGCGCCTCCAGCCCGAGACTGCAGAGAATCAATGCAAGAGGACTACGACTGATAGCAGCAAGGAAAACATGGCGTAGCTCTCTGTACTTACATTGTCCCCAACCCACTACCCGCTGCCTCCCCTCGGCTGGCTCCGGCCTCCCGTTGGTCCCCTTCGTTCCACCATCGGTTGAAGAGGAAGATCTTCGGGGTGTGATCCGAAGATGGGGGAGGAAGAGGCAAGGCCGGGGGATTGAGCAAGAGAGCTTCATAGCTTTCGGGGCGTATTGGCTGAAAGCATGGGGGGGGGAGGGATGTTTGCTGGAGGCAGGAGCCAACTGAGCGAAGGCAGTAGGGAGTGAAGTGGGGTATAAGCAGGTCGGAGAGGTAGGGAGGTGCCAGGGCATGAAGTGTACCCGAGTGTGTGGATCTACACTATAGTTGGGAGCCAGTGGAACCTGGCAAGGACTGGTGTGATGGGGGGTTGCGGAGTTTTAGAGCGAGGTGGAATCTAGATGACTTGGATTTTTGTGGGTTATGGAGTTGGGGAGATCCCACTGTGTGTCCCAAATCCCAAATGGAATTATGGACCTACTATGGACCTACTAGGAACTCTGGGGAATGTGACGGAGGTGGACGTCAGGGACCGGATGTGGGGTAGAAAGTACGGTTTGGGATCACACCTGATGCCCAGACTGTGCATTTATAATGGTTATTTTCGATGTTCCATGAGTAGTTTGTAACCAAATGTGCAGTAAAAGAATGATCATAATAATCCTCACATTTGACACAGCGCCTTATCACGTCTTCGAGACGTCTCAAAGCGCTTCACAGGATACACTGTAAAGTGTAGTGACTGCGTATTTGTGGCCGAAACGCAGCAGCCAATTGCGCACAGCAACGTCCCCACAAACAGCCGTGGGGTTCAAGTGACCAATTTACTATTATTATTTTCTTGAAGGGATTATTACCCCCAAAAAAGCGATTCGCCAATCGATTAACAACTGAGTTAAACAGAGGCGTGTGTGTGTGTGTGTGTGTGTGGGGGGTGGGGTGGGGGGTGGGGGGGGAGTAAGGAAACTTGCCCAACGTCTCGCCCTGATCTGACCCGCCCGGGAATCGAACCCGGGTCCTCTCGCTCGCGAGGCGAGGGCTCGAACCCCTGAGCCACAGGGAACTCCACAAGTGCAAGGAAATGTGTATCAAAAGCAGCAGTTATTTACTAATCCCAATGAGAGCAATGCCGGGAGGACCTTACATCGATTCGATTTCCTGGCGAGTGAAGTCTTTGCAATTAAGGAAAAAAGAAGCTTACGATAAACAGTCAGCGTTAATGTCCGCGACACAGAACATTTGTCAAAAAGGCAAAAAATGTGATTGGAACTCCTTATCTCGCAACAGGGGCACCTGTAGCAATACCAAACATATGTTCTTGGTTGCAAACCACTTATCTGTAAAACACGCAGCGGACCCGAAAATAAAAAATACTGCACAAATGAAACAGCTTTGAGCACCGTAGGATAGATAGCACACAGTTGCAAAAAAAAAAAGGAACTACTCTGGAATGATAAATATTCGCAGTCAGCGATACATCTGAAATTTGAAGTGCAGATTTCATCTCTCCTCATAAATCAATGTGAGATGAAGTCAGTCTGCTGTAAGAGCATTGCTGCGATCTCCGCAAAATACCTCCGAAGTACAATTAGTGAGGATTCCCATGTCGTTTTTAATTTGACATTGTCTGCTCTTTCTCTGCCTCGAATTTCTGAGCACTTCCCGTGCATTTCGAGTCGCCTCTCCTCGCCGAGAAACGAAGGCAAATGGGCTCCACTTTTATCAGTGATCCAACTGGCAAGGGAGGAGTCGCGCGTTTTGGTTTATTAGAGTGCTGGCCATTCTACAAAAAAACGTCTGAGATTAATCCTAATCCACTGCAATAAATACAAAAGAAAAGCACAATCGTTTGTGGGACCTTCCTGTGTGCAAATCATTCACTCTCTTTGTACGAAAGTATAGGGAACTCCGGCCAATTCTGTGCACGGAATACAGAGCAGACTGGGCCCTCGATAATCTAAGGATAATAGTAATAATAATACTTGCATTTGATATCCATTTCTTCGAGACGCTTCAAAGCGCTTCACTACGACACACTGTAAAGTGTAGTGACTGTGAATTTTGTGGGCGAAACGAGGCAGCCAATTGCGCACAGCAGCGTTCCCCCACAAACAGCCGTGGAATTGAGTGACCAAATTATTTTTTATTGGAAGAGATTATTACCCCCGGAAAAGCTATCCGCCAATCGACTAACAACCGGGTTCCTACTGACTGCCGGTAACAACAACAACAACAACAAGATTCCATTTATAGAGCGCATTTCACGTCGGGAGGACGTCCCAAGGCGCTGGACAGTTGGGTCAGGACCTGAGCATTGGGGGGAAATGGTCAGGGTGAGGGGAGGGAAGGGAGGGAGCGAGGAGGGGGTAGAGAGTTGAGAGTGGAGCTGAAGGCTGAAGGTCAAAGAGAAAGGTCTTGAGACCGGCCTTGAAGGAGGAAAGGGAGGAAGCGGCGAAGGCACTGGGGATGGAGTCCCAGAGCCTCGGGGCTGAGAGGCTGAAGGCCACCGATGGTAGGGCGGTTGGGGCGGGGGGTGTGGAGCAGACCGGAGCCAGAGGAACGGAGGATACGGGAAGGTAGGTAGGGGGATAGTAGGTCGGAGAGGGAGGAGGGAGCAAGGCCGTGAATGGCCTTGTAGGTGAGGATGAGGATCTTGAATTCGATCCTCTGGGGGATGGGGAGCCAGTGGAGGTGAGTGAGGGTGAGAGCGAGGGTGAGGGCAAGGGCGAGGGTGGGAGTGAGGGCGAGGGCGAGGGTGGGAGTGAGGGCGAGGGTGGGAGTGAGGGCGAGGGTGGGAGTGAGGGCGAGGGTGAGGGTGAGGGCGAGGGTGGGAGTGATGTGGTCGCGGTGTCTGGTGCGGGACAGTACACGAGCTGCAGAGTTCTGAATGACCTGCAGTGTGGAGGGAGGGCCGGGAAGGCCGACGAGGAAAGAGGTCCCATAGTCCAGCCTTGAGGTGATAAAGGTGAGGACCAGAGTTTCAGCCGCATGAGGGGTGAGGTAGTGCCGTAGTCTGGCGATATTCCGGAGGTGATGGAAGGCGGTGCCAGTTGTGGTGCGGATATGAGGGAGAAAGGACAGCTCAGGGTCGGACAGAACCCCGAGGTTCCTGATGGCTTTGAGAGGTGGAGAGTGCAGCCTTGGATGCTGATGGTGTCAGCGCCTGAGGTGCGGAGGCGCTGACGGAGCCAATCAGGAGGGCCTCAGTTTTACACACGTTGAGCTGAAGAAAGTTGTCTCTCGTCCAGGACTCGATGTCGGACACCGGGGGTCGTGGAGTTGAGGGTAGAGGAGGAACGGTAGAGTTGGGTGTCATCCGCATACATGTGGGAGTGAACCCCATGTCTGCGGATGATGTCAACACAGGGGGAGCATATAGAGGGTGAAGAGGAGGGGACCGAGGACAGAGCCCTGAGGGACACCGCACGAGACAGTGCGGGGGGTGGAGGAAAACCATTAGTGGAGACAAAGTGAAGACGGTGGGAGGGAGGCACGTGTGTATGTGTGTGTGTGGGGGGGGGTGTGGGGTGGGGGTGGGGTGTGGGGGGGAGTAAGGAAACTTGCCCACTGTTTTGCCCTGACCTGACCCGCCCGGGAATCGAGCCTCGGGTCCACTCGCTCGCGAGGCGAGTGGTTGGAATGAGGGAGGAAACAGAGTGAGAAGCTGTGGCTCTCAGGTGAAGGGCAACTGGAAGAGGAATCTTCAACGCCAATTTTTTTTTTCAAACTTCATTATAACAGAGAACAAACTCCGAGTTGCCTTTGCGATCAAAAAGAAACCCACTCAGCCTTAAAAAAAACAACACCGCCGTTCCTCGGAAGGTATAGCAACGGAACAGCCAACACTTGTGTCACATCAAACCATCTGTTCACGTATTTTTAAATAAGAACAAATCTTATCTATTTGTGGGGACGCTGCTGTGCGCAATTGGCTGCCCCGTTTCACCCACAAAATGTACAGTCACTACAGTGTATCCTGTGAAGCGCTTTGAGACGTCTCGAAGACGTGATAAGGCGCTGCATCAAATGCCGGGATTATTATTGTTTACTGCAGTGAGAAATATGAATTGCCATCAGCAGAATAACTGTCCTTTAGGTAAATGGCTTCAATAGTCACAGACATCTGTCTCCTCCCTTCTGTGTAGCAGCCAAACACAAACTTAGCCGGAAAAGAAATCAAACGTATGTCTAACTGCTATTTCTCCTCCTCCGCTGAAACTGCTAAAATTAACGCTATTGACCTATCCAATATTTTGGGGACTGATTGCATTTATCAGCACTCTTATTATATAGGATTTCTTGCTGACGTGAACGATGCTATACAAATGTAATTTGTTGTTATTTGTGTTTTTTTTAACAACGCAGCGTTAATAGTCCTTCACCAAAGGTTTTATCTAAACTGGGTGGAGATGGACAGTTGTGTCTTTCTGTTTCCATTACTTTTCTCTCGTCTTGTGGTTATCCTTTGGTAATCCAAAATACACACTTTGAATATCTGTCCTCTTCAGCCGCCTGAGCTTTGAAATATATTCCTCATGTTATCTCCTCACTGCTCTCACAAACGTCTCTCTACCATTCCTTCCTGTGCTCCGCGCCTCTGGTTACCGGCGGTCAGTAGGAACCCGGTTGTTAATCGATTGGGGGATCACTTTTCCGGGAGTAATAATCCCTTCAAAAAGTAATAATAATAATAATAATATAGCCACTTCAATGCACGGCTGTTTGTGGGGACGCTGCTGTGTGCAATTGGCTGCCGCGTTTCGACCACAA